GGGTTGGGTTGGGGGGGACAACAGCTTGCTGGTGCATTTTAACACCTATGTGCACAGAAGTCTTCGTCATGTGSAGGGCTTTTCCCAATCATGCACCAAGTACCTCAAAGTAAAAGTACAGGTATCTCACCATTAAATTACTCTGGTAAAAATTAAAGTCTCCTTTAAGAAAATTGCGTCAGTTAAACTCTTAAAGTATCTGACGTTTACTTTTCTTAAGTATCATAAGTAGATTTCTGAAAAATCTGCTAAACAACCTGATAAAGAAGGCTGGTTCTGTTCTGGGGACGACTGTGGAACCTCTGGAGATGATGGTGCAAAGAAGGATTTTACATCAAATCAAGAATATTGTGGACAACCCTGACCATCCTCTTCATCAGACTGTCATAGAAAAATAGTCTTCAGTCAGAGGCTTCTTCAACTTCGCTGTAATACAGACCGCTGCAGAAGACGTTTCCTGCCCACAGCCATCAGCATCTACAATAATTCATTAGTTAAATGAGTCACAACAACACCTAATTTCCCTCTGGGATCAATAAAGTATTTTTGAATTGGATTGAATTGAATGTTAATGATGTCCTGACACAATACTGATATCTGTATTGGGCCCGATACCAGCATTTTTACAAGTACAAATACAAAACGTGTACTTGGGACTGATACCAATACCAGTATCAATACTGGTATTGATATTAATAATCCATTTAATGTGTTACATTTCAAGTGAATAGTTTGTCAGTTCCATGTTTAAGAAATTTATGCAAATTGAAAGAAAATTGTATTTATTTTTATTTATTGTAAAATGTTACAATCATTCTGTAAATTAGATTTGATCCACTCAGAGGGGCTGTAGGCCTATAGAGAAGGACCAACACCTTGTTCTAAATAAAAGAAATGTGTTTTTAAAATAATTAAGTTCTAACTCAGTAAGCACTTGCCGTATTGGTACTCTGTATTTGCAAGTACCCAAACTGACGTACTCGTACTCGGTTTGAGAAAAACTATTATTTGGACAGATATAAAATGTACTTAAGTATCAAGAGTAAATTTCTAATATAAATTATGTTCACGCATTAAAAATATTGAATGAAAGTGAGCAGTTAGAATTTCCAAACTGACATTTATTGGGTGAAGACCTCCTGAAAAAGAAATTTTTCTAAAGGTCATAATGTTTGTAGTATTATAACAAAATATTTATGTTGAAAACTTTGGGAAGCATTAGGCTGCCTGTTTCAGCTGCATATATCATATCTATGAGTGTTCAATGCCAAAAACGTAACCCTAAAAATCACCCATAATGTTGGGGGGGGGATGTGTTTCACAGAGGAGTACATTTCGACAAAGTGCTTGCTAATGTACTGTCACAATAACCACATTTACATTTCCCTCTGCCCTCCAACTGTAAAATACATCACACAAGTTTCTTTGTTTTGTTTTTTTCACACAGGAGTCGACAGAGGACAAAACATTTTTTTCTTGTTAACCATGCAGATTAAAAGAAGAAGTGGACGTTAGCTGCACTTTCGCATGCTCAATAGGACCGGACGAGCTGCTCCTCGCAGCTGTCCGTCTTGCTAATTTAACAACCGACTTCTGCTCTGAGAGTGGATTGTTTTTGGCGACATACCAAAACACACGTTACTCCTTCGTATCCACAAATATASCGTTTCCCCACCAGAGGGTACCCCACAACACCTGAAAAATCCTGAAGTCTGTAGGGGTAGCATTATACATGAGGATTAGATTTTTTTTTCTATGCTGTATATGATGCTGACTGTGATGCTGCATACATCTGSTGTTTCCTGCTGGAGTGTGGCGTGATTTGGTTCGTGCAGGTTTGAAGGATTGTACAAACCAACAGAGTGTCGGAATGGTATATATTTATGCTGCGTTMGGACTGAACGCATTTTGAGTGTCAAAAACTTGTCCAACAMCTCAAGTTGGACAYTTKTGCATTTTGAGGTCAGGCGCTCGTCAAAATTGCTTTAGACCTGTTTGTTGTTTTCCTCTGCCGGTCTCTGTACAACGGCGGATGAAACTGAGAGAGTGCCTTGGCTTTGTTTGCTGAGAGCAAAAGCACATTGTTGTTGGGCGCCTCTGCACCGTGTCTAAATTCACCAGGTAAGTCAGAGTTCTGAGTTTGGTGATTCTTACTACTTCCAGAGCTGCATGCTGACAAGGCTCACTTTCAGAGCTATTTTTGTCTCAAGCCTATTGACAAGTTGCTGACCCTCATTGGTGCCTGCAGCTCCTGCCTGGAGATTGACTACAGACTGTCGATTCCAGCCGAAGAGCTCCTGTCCATCTGTCTCAGGTTAGAGGACATCATTCAGTAGACCGTCCAGTCGGAAAATGCCCCACTGAGTCACACAGTGGATTCTCTCTGATTGGTTGACCCTCCTTTCGAGCGGCAAAAGTTCAGATTTTCCAACTGCAGTGTTGGCCGCTTTGAACTCATGTGATGCGCATCAAAAGCTCAAAATGCTTGAAAGCTTCAAAACGTGCCGCGACACTTCCCGATGCCCCTTGACGCACACCCTTTATAGACTTTGGACGTAAACCTGAAGCTCAAAACATGTTTGATCTGAACACAGCATTGTACTTCTCACCCAACCACAGTCAATTCACCCTGCCCAGGAGGAACAATTTATGTGGACATGTTAGGACAAGGCGGTTTTTAAAAGGTAAGGAGTAAAAGTAAAAAGTAATTTCTACTTAAGTTACGTAACAAAGTATTTGTACTTTGTTTCTTGACACCTCAGGGTTTTCCGTTCAGTGGACATGTTTGTCGGGTTGTATTGGGTCAAGCTCTGACTCTTTGCGTTCTCGGGTGCACATCTGTTACTGTTTCCCAATCTAAACTTTCCCAACTGGGCAGCGAAGGAGAACAAACTGCAGATGTTCTTCCTACCCCGAAGACCATGCCATCCCTTGTTCCCGTTCCCCCTCCTCCTTTTCTCTTTCCCCCTTTTTCTCCAATGTGGAAAATGCGAGATCACCGAAACCGCCGTTAAAGCTATCCAAGACTCCGAAAATAAAAAAAGTAACCCTACACTTTGCTTTTATTCTTCTCCTTCTCTCTCCAACTCTCCCTTCTCTTTTTGATTTTTCCTCTTCCTCGCGCTGCCAAGCTGCTCCACCCTGCCCAACACACAGAAGCTGGAATCCTAATCTCTGTGCCTTTTTCTTGCTTTAATTTCTGTTTATGTGTTTGCTGTGGTCTTTCTGCCTCTGGGTGTTAGTGATCGGAGTGTTAGTGGGTGGGGAATGGAAGGGTGATCCCACGAGACGCAACAGAGGGCTCTTTTTTGTTTGTTTTTGCTTCCCTGTACAAGTCAGATGCAGAAGTCACAACGTCACTCGACTGACATCATGTCATGATTTAGAGCTTGAGGGACTTTTACAACGCTGCAAGTTGAGAGGTAGAACTTCGGAATTAACTTTCTGCTGCTAAAAAGAAACAACTTTGTGACATGTGACTGATGAAAACAGAGAAGAATACACAGTGATGAGTTTGGAAGAACTTTTCTCCTCAATAAAACATACAGATCTGTAAAATACCAGGTCAAAAACTGAAGTTGCTCAATGTTTTTTGTTACTTTTTCATCAAGTCGCACACAAAGGGTTCATAAAAGCCGGGGGACTTACCATGACTTCAGTCAGGAATTCCTACATGGTCATCAGCTCCTTTCCTGATGCCGCTTCCTCTCCACATTCTCTGCAAAAACTTTCTCTTTTCACTTCCAATCAGTCTTTTTTTCTCTCCTTCATCAGTTGCTTCTCCAGCTCAGATCCCTTCTGCTGATGAAAGATTTCAGCCTCATAGATTGAAAGAAGCAACGATAAACTTTCCTCTCCTCTCTCCTCCACCGTCTCGGCTGAATTTCCCAGCCTGGGAATGTCCAAGCTGCAATTTTTTTCCTCTTCCTCCTCCTCCTCTCAGACCGTCCCACACCCCCTTCTCCTCCTCTCTCTTTCACCTAACAGAAGCAGTACAGTTTCTCCACACTCAAACTTTCCATCTCCTCCTTCTTGACGAATGTAAATGAATGGACAATGAAAACTGTTACCGCACCCAGCCTGCAAAGAGACCGCTCATGCTTTATTGGGGGGCGACTCCATATTCTGTATCCTCATTRGGAACAAATTAGGTTTAATTGTAATTAAACTTTGATTTTATAGACTTTAACAGTCTTGCAGAGCTCAAAACGTACACAGCTAGCTGTAGAGCAGGATGGGCAAATTAAATAATGGAAGGAGCCAAAGTTTTTTGTTGACACCAGAGGGCCACATAGTGCTGCACACTTACCCACATGTAATAAAACTACCATTTAAAAAAATGTTTTCTATACGTTATGTTTATTAAACCAAACAATGTACTTCATGCTCAAATAGATGTATAACAGTTGTACTTTTGTTTAATAAATATGAATATAAAATGTTTGAAGCAAACAAAGAATAAACACTTTCACAAACTGTAGTGCAACAGTATAGGACACCTTGAGTCCAGATAATGCATTTTATTTGTTAGCGCCTTTCAAGACACCCAAAGACACTTTACAACATTAAAAACACCAAATTAAACAATATAAAATGGATATAAAAACACTAAAATAAAAAAACAATAACTAAGAGATTAAAGTGAAAAAATTATATTAATAACATTAAATATCCACTTCCAACCCACTCTGCTGCTAGAAATAAGTTCTTTCATCCTCATTTTCGCCTGCACCCTGCCCCCTCCCCTCCACGGCTGACGGTCTGCGTGAACCCCCACCACCACCACCCCCTTGCATGTGATCAACACAGATGTTTTGCGAAAGTTACGGATTTTTGAGGCTCAGTATACAGGTTAATGTCCAAACGGGTTGATATGTATGAATAGATGGCAATTGCACATGGCTGCTTTTGACTGAAGGGAGGATGAGTGTTAGTTTGGCATTAGCCCTGTGTAGCATTAGCGTTAGTTCCGGGCCTCAAGGACAATGACTTACACATATATAAGTCAGTAATCATATTCACGACCAAGTGCTAAATACTCATCTGTGACAACTTTTATGATGGTTTATTACAAACCATACAATTGTGCCCAACAATAACATGGATTGTTACCTTAGCTTTAGTGTTAGCTCTGTGTTTACATACTAAACAAACTAAACACAGGTTTGCCTTGAAATTCTGTGAACAGATAGTCGATCTCCTGTTTCATGAAACACAATTTTCTCCATCCAGTTTTCATTCCTCCGTTCTTAGCTATAGCTAAACGTCTCTTCCTCACTGTGCGCACGAGGTGACAGCTTCCTTGTGGGCACCATCTAGTGGCAAACTTTGTCATTACAACCAATTCAGCAACACTGAGACACTTTTAAGATTTTTAAAAGCTGCTTTTTTAAGTTGCTAATCCCTGCATGCTATAAATGAAGATAAGTATGTTCTTAAAATGGTAATAGTGTTTTACGCTTGTTATTGATTTGATTTGATTTATTGATTTAACAGGAAAAGATTACTAAAAATTCAAGCCTGACTCAGCATAATTGCTGTTTTACAGCAGGTTTCTGTTCTGCAGCACATAAAACACTCAGAA